AAAGGTTGAAATAGAGTTTGTAGAGGGTTTTTTATTGCAGCTGTATAATAGAGGATGACCACTTAGTGGATGAAGRAGATGCACACACACAACATTTGTCCCATATAACCATTGTCATTGTCAACTGTTGTAGAGATTGAAAACTAATTGACAATTGTTAAATACAGTAGTTGTACCACGTTGTAAGAAAGACTTTGGCATGTGACAAAGTTAAAGTCAAAAGTTGTGGTGTTTAACCCTTTCACCGCCATTGTCGACATTTGTCGACGTCGACGTATGCCTCTCTTTAAAAAAATGTTAATCTATTAATTGCATAGCAAATGAACTAATTATGTTTTGGTAAATAAATAATAACAATCTTTTATTAGGAAAAACTATCACATAAGTGTGGTTTTCATAGAATTCCTATTGTCCGTGAAATTATACAGCTGCTAATTTATAAAGTAAGCACCATAGGGTTTCTTTGTGGTGAATGTGGTCCCTTAATTGAGGGCGAAATCTGGCTGCATGCTTTTCGACGTTAGACAAGAACACTAGAAAAAGGCTAAATATATTTTCAATTTTACTGCAAAAAATCCCTCAATCATGCCAAAATACAACATTTGAAAGAAAGTTCAGCCCTTCTACTTTGCGTTGATGTGTCTTTTGTAACCAGTTTCATTGAACAAGCCGAGAAAGAGCTCTTTCTTTAGGGTCCATTCCATGAGACAAGTGTTTCCTTGAACTTCGCTTGCAAAGAATTCTGGGTAATGGTGAATTTTTAAGTGTCGAGTCATTTGCTCCTACCAGGAAAATTTCAAGTAGATTCCTCTTTTTAGAAGCCAAAACATGCAAAAATATAYACGGTAGGTTGCGAAGTCAAGCACAAGACAGCCAGGGAGACGACTTCACTCAAATGGCGCCATTTTACACAAATCAACAGTTGCTCGCCATTTTCTTTGTAAAATCGCTTCCCACTTCTGATTTCTTCCAGAAGATCGCTTCTGCCACAATAGTCAAGCTTTATGATGCAAGTCTAGGGGCTCTTGTGCGAGAACTTGACTTCAAAAACACCTAAAAACCGATTTTTCCTGTGTTTTGAACGAGCTGATTGCTAGTCAAAGCCACGAGCAAAAATCTTACAGGCATCCCTTGCAAAARTAAGCCTTCAGTTATCACGAACAGCAGCTGTTTCCTTGACAACCTTAAGATTAGTCCCGAAATCATTTTTAAATCATTCTGCCTTAAAAACAGTCAAATTTAACCACAATTTTTCGGCGGTAAAAGGGTTAATTGAGCCTCTAAGCATTCTTATAGTTCTTATACAGCATTTGCATGCCACTTTCAAGTTTATGCATCATTTTTTCACAAATGTGTTCCACTGTCACT